TTACATGTAAGGCTGCAGCCCTGAGTCCCTCACTCTCTTCCCCGTTACAAAATGTTGACTGGTTCCTTAATTCCTTCTTCAAAGTGTTCCCGTTAATTCTTCATTATTTCCTCCTTGTTCTCACCCTTTTCCCTCCTGCTTGGAGATGTCTCCTGGCTCTGAAATCTCTTACAGAACTTTAAAAACTTTTTTAAGACGCATGATTCGGTAATAAAGTGGGAAGCTGCCTGTGTGTGACGGGTTTAACCAGGCACGTTAACACTCTGTGAGGAATCCTAAAGGCGTGCAGTGGAGAATTTTTATAGGTATAGCTGCTATTTATTTGGTTACACAGTCCCTTTCTTGTTTGCCACACAAGATTCCATTTAGCTGACAAAACACTGAATTTTCAAACAAATGGCAGGGATATCCATGGAAACAGTAGCAGTGTGTGTGAGAAAGAATTGGGAAGCCCTTTTGCAGAGATAGGCTTTAGTACCACGATGAAGAACTTTACCCGCAGAATTCAAATACTAGAAATTTATAACTTGATGGCTGGAAATCAGCTCTAGCAAAAAAAAAAAAAAAAAAAAAAAAAAAAATGATTCGCAGATGTTTTGTTGTAAAAAAAAAATATGTATGTATTTTAAATTTTGGCCAGAAAAATAATTGTTTAACTAAAAGTAACGTTTGAAAAACACTGCTGTTTTTCATTTGTGTGTGTGTGTTTGGTTTGGTTTTTAAAAACTGTAGAGTGGAGATGCTCTCTTTGTAGGATATATTGCGCTTGTTGTTTTTCCTAAGCCGTAGCTGAGGATGAAGCACAAATGTAAAACTTTGGTACATTTTCATCTGCTCCATAAAGGTAGAAAAGCTCCTTTTGTGTCAATATAGAAGATTCTCTAATCCACTAGGAAAAGTATTATTCTCCCTTCCCAAACAAATGGGAAGCTATTTATTCCCTAACTGATAAGGAAGAATAAGATTCCTTAACTCTGAGGGAACGAAACACGGCAGGATACATTTTGATAAAAGAAAAAAACCAAAAACCAAAAACCAAACCTACTGCTGTCGAGTCTCTTCCGACTCATAGTGACCCTGTACGACAGAGTAGAACTGCCCCATAGGGTTTCCAAGGCTGTAAATCTTTACAGAAGCGGACTTGCACATCTGCCTCCAGGAGAGCAGCTGGGAGGTTCGAACTGCGAGCCTTTTGGTTAGCAGCTGAGCATATTAACCACTGTTCCAACAGGCCAATGGTAGTCTAAATGCAGGAAGAACCTAGGAGTGTAGCAGGGCTCTGAGAGTATGACAAACGATAAAATTAACAGAACCTTGCATTTTAATGTACATTGTATATTATCATAAATTATACATATTTCTATAATATACATATGATCTATAATAAGTTAGCTTATGTTGTTGTTTGACTCATGATGACCCCACGTGTGCAGAGAAGAACCGCTCCTTAGGGTTGTCTAGGCTGTAGTCTTTGAGAAGCAGATCCCTAGGCCTTATTTCCAAGGCATCTCTGGGTGGATATGAACCACCAACCTTTTGTTTGGTAGACCAGCGCTTAACAATTTGTGCCACTCAGAGACTCCAAGTTAGCTAAGTTAGCTCATAAAATCCTCTATATGTTATTTTACTTGATCCTAAAAACAATACTGTGAAGTAGACGGGAAAGATACTCTTGTCCCTGTTTGGCAGATCAGGAAACTAAAAAAAGGTTTAAATTAAGTGTTCCGGTGACTTGGCCCAGTGGGGACTCTTGGTTGAGTTAAAAAAAAAAAAAGTTTTCTATTTTAACATGGGGCTTACTCACAGTGAAGTTTAGTAGGAGGAAGAAACATTTGCTTTCCAAATTTAAGACACAAATGTCAGATTCTTGGCATACCCAACTTAGAGACAGTTGCCAAAGTGTTAGCATCCCTTCTAACCTGCTCACATAATATTTCAAAAATGGATCATGAAAAACTTAGAACCGTGTCTTTCAGCAGGGTTAGTGATATAGTCATATTTTCTCTATGCTTATGTATATATAACTGTGTAATGTTTTGCTTATGGTATTAATGACTGAAATAATAAAATTATGATCCAAGTTAGACATTTGCCCTCCAAGACTAAGGAATTTCTTCTAACAAATGTGAAGTCAATTGCATACATATGCAAATATAAATATTCTATATATGTGTTAAAAATAGACGTGGAATACTGTATGATTGCATTTATACAACATCCGTGAAGAGACAAAACTGTGGGGATAAAGAACAGACTATAACAGTATAGCACGAGGACGTTCTCGTGGGTGATAGAACGTTCTGTATTCTGCTTGTGGTGGTGGGTACACGAATCTGTGCCTATGTTAACATTCATCCAACTGTACACCAGAGATGAAGGGGTCGATCTTACCGTAGGGTAATCTAAAAAATTAAAAAACAGATGTAGACAAATTAATGAAATTAATGTAGCACTTTTAATTTCATCACAAGGTTGTATTTATTGAGTTTGCCATCAAATCTATAAATGAAAGCAAATGTTTGTGTTATTAGGTAAAAATATTTTAAATTACAAACATACTGTTAAGGGAAAATAAGTTTGATACACGTAACCATTAAATAGTTTTGCCTTTTTTGTTGTTAAACTTCATGAGTATAATTGAAATGCAATTAATCATAGAATTTGTCTAGTAGGTAATAAAAAATCAGCCGTACAATGTGCATATGTACCCACATAAGCTTGTCTTTAACATATAGTCCCTGCAAAACGATAAATCGTTATCTTACCCTTCAGTTAAGTAATAAGTGTTTTCAGATATCTGAAACATTTATATCAGAAATACATACATATACCTACATATGCCTTTCAGTTTTAAATCGGCGTAGTGGTTAAGAGCTGCTAACCAGAAGGTCGGCAGTTCGAATCTACTAGGCGCTCCTTGGAAACTCTATGGGGCAGTTCTACTCTGTCCTATAGGGTCACTATGAGTCGGTGTCAACTCAATAGCAATGGATTTGGTTTGTTTGTTTGTTTTTTTATCAGTATATATTGTATCTACTCAAGGATTGAATAGGCTACATAATTTATGGTGCTCAGTACAAAATGAAAATACAGGCTCACTTGTCCAGAAATTATTAAGAATTTCAGGATGTTGACAGCAGAGCATTAAACGAAACACAGAGACCCTGCGGGGCTGCATAGGTTGCATGGCCATGAAGCCGACCCTGCTGAAAGACAAATTTCAAGAAATTGTTACTTTATGTCTTAGTTATCTAGTGCCGCTGTAACAGAAACGCCACAGATGGGTGGCTGTAACAAACAGATTTATCCTCTCACAGTCTAGGAGGCTAGAAGTCCAAATTCAGGGTACCAGCTCCAGGGGAACACTTTCTCTCTGTGTCGGCTCTGAGGGAGAGTCCTTGTCATCAATCTTCCCCTCGTCTAGGAGCTTCTCAGCTCAGGGACCCCAGGTCCAAAGGATGTGCTTTTCTCCTGATTCTTCATTTTTGGTGGCATGAGGTCCCCCCATCTGTCTGCTGGCTTCTCTCTTTTATATCTCAAAAGAGATTGACTCAAGATGCAACCGAATCTTGTAGATTCAGTTCTACCTCATTAACATGACTGCTTCTAATCCTGCCTCACTGACACCGTACCAAAAACCAAACCCCTTGCTGTGGAGTCCATTCCAACTCATAGTGATCCTATAAGATAGAGCAGAACTGCTCCATAGGGTTTCCAAGGAACAGCTGGTGGATTTGAACTGCAGCAGAGTTTTGGTTAGCAGCCGAGCTCTCAATCACTGTGCCGCCAGGGCTCCATTAACATTGTAGAGGTTAGGACTGACAACAACACAGTACTGGGAATCATGACCTAGCCACGCTGACACATATTTTGTGGGGATACAGTTCAATCCATGACATTTTATTTAACCCAAATGGATTTCCTTTTCTATCTGGGTTTGAATACTGGTTTATTCCCTTACTGGCTGTGGGACCTTAGGCAAGTTAACTATATGTAGAGTAGAAAAGAAGACAGGGTGTTATTGGCACACTGGTTCAAAGTGTGGGTTTCACATTTAATTTTGAGTTGAAATCTTGCCTGTTTATAAGTGTGTGACCTTAGGCCTTTCATCGTCAGTAAATGGAGAGATGAGATGTTGTGGGAATTAAGTGAGAAAATATTTGAAAATTACATATTGTAGCACACACATTAAGCACTCAGTCAGTTGTGAGTGCTACTGTTATTTGGGCATTTAGACCCCAGTGCATGCATTATTCCCACTAACAAGTCATAGCACGCAAACCATTTCTACCCGGTTTATTAGAAACGTAGAAAAAGCTCAGTGAGAACTTGTTTTAATGTTGAATGACCCGAGTTACTGGAAATTTGACTCAGATTAAATGTCATTTCTGGATACCTCTCACTAATAGTAATTATATTACCTCTGTTTAAAAAATATACTAAAAGTAAGAAGACATCAATGAACTGTAGATTTCGGGACATTCCATAACTCACTCATCTTCTTCAAAAATGCCAAGGTCATGAAGGACAAAGAAAGACTGAGGAAGAGTCCCAGACTGGAAGAGATTTAGAGGCATGACAGCTAAATGCATTGTGGGTCCCGGATTGGATCCTGGGCCAGAAAAACAGCATTAGTGGGAAAACTGGTGAAATTTGAATAAGGTCTGTAGATCAGTTAGTAGTATTGATGTAGTAGTCTGGTTTTTGATAATTGTACATGATTATATAAGAGGTTATATAACCAGTAGAGGACACTGGGTGAAGGGCGTACCAGAACTGTTTGTGCTATTTTTTAACTTCTCTGTAAGATCTAAAATTATTTCAACATAAAAAGTTAGAAAAGGAAAAGAAAATTAAATGCTTGAAAATACTCACTTTTTAAAAGTTTTAAATCCCCTCCACTTTTTTTTTCACTCGCTAGAGTTTATTTTAGCATTTTCTAAATATTAGAATGACATGAGGATTTAGGTTTATACTCTCACCATTTGCTTATTTTGTAGACAAAGTTTACACGGGACCAGGGCAACTGTACCAAGATTTGCAAAACTTGTTGCATGACTTGAATGTAATTGGTCAAATCACTCAACTGATAGGAAACCTTAAAGGAAACTATCAGGTAATAATCAAAGCAATTTGATTTTTATTTTTACTTCTAAATCACTGTTTAAAAAAAAAAAAAACAAACCTGTTGCCGTCAAGTCGATTCCGACTTATAGCAACCTATGGGACAGAGTAGAACTGCCCCATAAGGTTTCTAAGGAGCAGCTGGTGGATTTGAACTGCCGACCTCTGGGATAGCAGCCGAGCTCTTAATCAGTGACCACCAGGGCTCCAAATCACTATTGTTGTTGTTAGGTGCCGTGGAGTCGGTTCCGACTCCTAGCGAACCTGTATACCGCGGAACAAAACACTGCCTGGTCTTGCACCGTCCTCATAATTGTTATGCTTGAGCTCCTCATTGCAGCCACTGTGGCAGTCCATCTTGTTGAGGGGCTTCCTTAGGACGGTCCTGTTTTATTTACACTTTTAAAATATATACATGTATTTTCTTTGTAGAACTTAAACCAATCTGTAGCCCATGATTGGACATCAGGTTTACAAAGACTTATTTTGAAGAAAGAAGAAGAAATAAGAGCTGCTGATTGCTGTAGAATCCAGTTACAGCTTCCGGGGAAGCAGGACAAGTTAGTAGTAACTTTAAAATGAAACCTTCTTGGTCAGTGCTGAGAAAATGATTCTTTGTCATGATTTTGTATATTTTCTTGGTTTGGTGATTATGTTGGACAGGCAAGATATGTAACTTAATTTTACATGATGGATCACATTTTATAAAATGATTGCTTTTCTATTATTTCTGGCAGGTCTGGGCGACCTACTTTCTTTACAGCTGTGTTTAATACATTTACCCCTGCCATCAAGCAGTCTTGGATCAACAACTTGCAGATGGCTAAGCTCGCCCTTGGTAAGAGTTGATTTAAGCTAAATGAAGCATGTTCAAATAAGAGACAATGGACATTTTATAGTCCCCTAGAGAGTTTTCTACATTATGATGAAATACAAGAGGATAAAATCATAGATGAGAAGTAAACTAAGCAATAGGTTTACCCATTACTCTGAAAGTATATTTTTAGGAAGCAAAAATGGACCCCAGAAAAAGTGATTTTGAAGAAATTTATTATTTAGGAGTTGCAGAAAAAAAAAAGCAATGGGTTTTATTGTAAGGGAAACATTGCTATCAATTGATGCTGTTGAGCCTAAGTAAAAGGCCTTTTCCCCACTGGGACTTCCAGGCCCCGGGTCCAGTCTGGGTTTGTCTCCAAATTGCAGGAAAGACATGTTCCTCATCCCCTTGCCCTGTTAAGTAAAATAAAGGGGTTGGGTGAAATTGAGACTCGAGACCCTTCCAGCACTAAAAATAAATGCTATAGTTCTACCAGCAATGGATATGACTTCATGTTTTCTTGTCCTCTGTCCCGTTTATCTTTGCCTTTCTTGCTAATTAGGCAGATAAAACTTGTTGCTGTGGAGTTGATTCCGACTCCTAGTGACCCCCATGTGGAGAGTAGAGCTGCCCCATGGCATTTCCAAGGCTGTAAATCTTTGCCAAAGCAGACTGCCACATCTTCCTCCCGCAGAGCAGATGGCGTGTTGAAACCTCCACCTTCCTGTTAGCAGCCGAACGCTTAACTACTGTGCCACCGCTGACCGAACCCAAAACCCACTGCCTTCGAGTCAATTCTGACTCATAGCGACCCCTTAGGGTTTCAAGGCTGTAAGTCTCTACGGAAGCAGACTGCTGCTGGTGGTTTCGAACCGCTGACCTTTTGGTTAGCAGCTGGGCGTTTAACCACTGTGCCATCAGGGCTCCTAATTAGATAGATATGAAATGTACACGTATCATATATCCATAGTTTATGTACACATACACAAATCTGTTACTCAGAATGAGATGTCTTTGTGTGTGTGTGTGTGTGTGGTGTGTAAGAAAAAATTCCCTTTCAGATATAGATAACCTGAATGTTAACAGCCAGGCAGAGAAATGCCCATCACCCTGGTGAGCTGAGTGGTGGAAGGACTTTTATTGTGACACGGAAGCCTTCCTGGATTTGCGTTCACTTGAGGAGGAAGCATTGACAGGGCTGCTGTGTCTTCCTGAATACTTTCTGAGGTTTATCAAGTTAGGTTCAAAGTACGTCAGCAAGCAGGGAAACAGCCCACTCTCTGAAGAGAGTAGGTTGAACCTGAAAATGAACTCCTTTTTTGTCTTTAAATTAATTAAACTAATCGACAATGTACTTTGGAAGTAAGCTATGTCTTCGTTTTGTTGTATTTTTTTTTAAATCCGGTATATTATACCATGTTAAAATTGTCTAACTATATCTCTGGTATTTGTATTTAAACAACTCAGTTGCTTTGAAAGAAAAAAGAGAAAAACCTATGTGGTTTACACAGAGAAGTTTCACACACACCCCCATTCAGCACATTCTGGAAGAGCCAACCGGAGGACGTGATGGTCACTTAGATGTGGGCCGTTGTGCTTTGTGAAATAAAGCCATGAATGTATATTTATATCCTTCAAGAAAAGATCAAGACACCTGAATTTACTCGTTTCCAGAATAGAACATTTCGTTCTCCGATCTTAAAAAAAAAAAGGAATGTTAGAATGTTCTGTTGGTGTGGCCTGATTGAATTTGCAGAGCACGCTGAGTGTGAATTAAATACCGTCCCTGTTCATTTTCTCTTGGAATGTAACATTGCAGAGGAGGACAACCATATGGGTTGGTTCTGCGTAGAAGATGACGGGAATCAAATTAAAAAAGACAAACATCCCCTCCTTGTTCGATACATGCCCGTGATGGTGGCCAAGCAGCAAGAGTTTAAGGTAAAGTGGGGTGCTTTTCTCGTCCTGCTTCACCTTTCCACATATAGATAGTACGTTCATCGTCTAACTTGATTTACTAAGAAATTACTATTAAGGGGCCTAAATCCGAGCAATCAATATCTTTCAAAGTCGTTTATAGTGAGTACTTGTCTAGAGGTAATTTATTTAGAAATAGTTGAAGATCATTGTAGTTTAAAGCCAAAACGTCACTTACCTGCTCTGCTGCTGTCTTTGAAGCCATTTCCTGGGGTTTAATCACTGCAGGATGCTGCAGTATTAAAACAGCCTACCACGTGCAAGGCATTATAAGTTAAATAAGGGAGACACATGGTTCAGATTTGTCAAGTCTGTTATGCCTTTGCTTGGAATAGTCAGTTCTAAAAGGGAATCATAATTAGAGGCCTCATTTTTCCTTGCAGTGCTGTGCCCACTCTGCTAAAGCAAGCTCCATTGCCAAAAAAAACCTGTTGCCTTCAAGTTGATTCCAACTCATAGCGACCCTGTAGGGCAGAGTACAAATGCCCCATAGGGTTTCCAAGGAGCGGCTGCAGCTGGTCGATTCCAACTGCCTATCTTTTGGTTGGCAACTGAACTCTTAACCACTGTGCCACCAGGTCTCCTCCATGGCTGAGGTGGTATTTTACCAACGTACGCTAGGTTGTCCATTCAGGCACAAGTCAGCTCCTTTGACTACTTTGGTGACTTTTAAAATATCCTTTTCTCAAAACAAATAAATAAAAGCAGTATCATGTCTCATTTTTGGTGTCTGCCAGACACTTAAACTTGAGGGCTGGGTTTTGCCGGTAGCACAGAGCCCGTGCTACACTGCTGCCCGGGAAGGCTGCCTGCAAGGGGAAGAGAGGACTGCGTCTTCCCTGCAGGCTCCGTGCTTGCTTCCACCCCAGTGAGCTTCTACCTCCTCCTCTGATGGGCTCCTTCAGCCTGGTTGCTGGAGTCTGAACAATAAAGTACTGAAGGCTAAAACGACTTAGGTGTTTGCCTTTGAAAGGCTAATTTCTGACACTTGTACTTTAATCTTTTACTTTTCCTATTTTAATTTTCAGTAGGTAATGACCTGACATGTCTGTGGTTATATGTCGAAAGTATAAGTCAACCATTTAAGGCATTATGTAGTCTAGAAGCCTCCTAATCCCATTTTATATGTGGGTGTCTACTTGTATTCCACTTTAGATTGAATGTGCTGCTTATAATCCTGAACTTTACCTAAATAATGAGAACCAACCGGATTCATTCTCCATGGCGCATGGGTTCCTGTGGGTAAGGTGTTTCTGTCTGTTTGTTTTTATTAAGCATCAGTACCCATGGGGAGGGTGACAAGAAATACAAATTTCAGTTGATCAATGGAATGTTGTCATTAGTGCCTCATGTATCCCAGATTATATTTATAAACACGAAAAGTTCTTGTTAAACGGAGCTGATTACTTTTGGAAAAGATGCATAATTCTTAGGAATTTCAACGCTTATTTCTTTTCTTTTTTATCTAAAACTTTACCAGATTAGATTCAATCCCAAGACAACTACTTTAACTAATGTGAGAATCATTTCAATATTTCTCAATTTAGTGGTTAAATTGCATGCTTTGCTTCGTTTTTCCCTCCCGGGACATTGTTGGCTTTTTACACTGGAAACTTAGCAGTTAAAATAAATTTTTACAAATGAAATATAGCGTTTGAAATTATGCAGCAATTGCAATAGACATTTCTGGCTCATATAGACTGGAGGAAATTCAACATTCCATGGAGCTGAAAGTCTGTCACCTCTCTTTCTTCTCCTGGGGTTCCCCCTTCCTTGCAGCCCCTCAAAACGTCCTTCCCAGTGGCTCTTGCTGCTTTTCAGACTCTTAACATAACTTTCTTTCACCCCAAATATCCTATACTTATATCCTAACTTGTGCATTTTGATAGCCGAAGCTCCTGTTTGCTTGGTGCTCTGAGTTGAGTATTAAAAAAGGAAACAACTTGATTATTTGATTTATACCAAGCGACTAGTCCTGGTTGAGCGCTTGGCTGCTGACTGGAAGGATGGAGGTTCGAGCCCAGCCAGCGGCTCCGCAGGAGAAAAGACCCGACGATCTGCTCCTGTAAAGATTTCAGCCAAGAAAACCTTATGAGGCAGTTTGACGCTGTCACATGGGGTCCGTATAGTCGGAATCAATTCGATGTCACCTAATAACAACTAATAAATGGATAGGCTTAATTTCCTTGAGGTGTTTGAATTTTAAAAGAAATGGTATTTTTTTTAATCCAGACAGCTCTGTACTTGTTGCTGCTTCATCCCTACCCCATAGTTACACCTCCCTATTCCCTTCCTGCGAGAAGACAGGCATCCTCCTTCTGAGAGTGCCAAACCGAGTGTTTGCCTGTAATGTGGAGAAAGTATAGTAAGAACGAGAATAATCTAACTACCTTCCCAAAATCAGTGGAAAAAGAAAACTCCACAAAGCAATATCCCCCTAAACTAGCCCATGCTTTATGTTCACAAGGGCTCTCTCCCACTTAAAAAAGTCACTCTCCCAGTTAAAAAACAAATTTAAATCAGGAAACTATGCTAAGTATTCTCAATGTAAAAGTTCAGTAAATAAGAAGGTCATAAATATTGTTGCAGCAATACTCGTTTAAGAAATACTGCAGCAGACTATAAAACTCATTGCCATAGAGTTGATTCGTACTCATAGCGATCCTATAGGACAGGGTAGAAGTGCCCCATAGGGTTCCCAAGGCTGTCGTCTTTACAAAAGCACACTACGACATCTTTCTCCCCTGGACCAGCTGGTGGGTTCAAACCACCAAGCGGTTAGCAGCTGAGTGCTTAACCCCTGTGCCACCAGGGCTCCTGACAGCATTCTATACTATACGTTCAATGCAAGTGATTCACTTTGGGGTGCATTTTTATTAATTTTTATCTTTTTAAAGATGCATTTTCTTATATTAACAGATAAAGTCTGTTACGTATTAGTGTTAAATTATGTAAAATGGGAACAAAGCTACTGTTTTAAGACTTTAAACCGAGTAGGGATAGCCCTTTACCATTGTAGAGTGATAGGTATGTGATTTTTAAAGCATATCAATGTGATTTTCTTAAAATTGAAACTATGCTCATGTTATTAAAATAAAAAAATAACTGTATTAAATATGTTGAAAAGAAAAAGGGGCACCGTTGGCAGATTGTTTAAACGTTATTTGATTTTTTAAAGTTTGTTGGTTGGCATAGAAAGTTGATTCCTGTCACTCCCTCTCGGTATCCGGGTTCAGTGTACTGAGAAAGGCCGATTGTATAGCATCCACACTTTCTGCTTCTCCCCCTCTTAACTCCTCAATTCAGATCGGAAGTTGTACCAATCAAATGGGTCAAATCGCCATCATCTCATTTCAAAATTCCAACCCCAAAGTTATTGAATGCTTCAACGTGGAATCGCGCATCCTTTGTATGGTCTACATTCCAGTGGAAGAGAAACCAAAAGAGCCCGACGCAACCTCTGATTCGGAAACTGGAGCTGTGAGAGCTTCAGGGGTCCCCGCCATTTGTTTAGGGACGGAAGAAGGAAGGTAGCGTTCCCATTTCACTGTGTTCCGTTAGAAGTAAACGAGGGACCTATCATGGGAAGTCGTTCAATCTGATCTTAGAAAGCAGTGTAGGAATCTTGGGATACGTGGAAATTCTTAGGGCCAGTGCACTTTGGAATAGTGGATCGGGCCCATGGAAATTATTCTAGGAAACTGCCAAGCAGAAAAGACAATTCTTTAAAGTGGAAAAGTTTTATTTCTACCATACTATTGGCTGCTGAAACATTCATTTCTAATAATGCTTTTAAAAGTACTTATGTTTCTGAAAAAACCAGAACCATGTTCTATTTTATACTCAGTGAACACTGATGCAGTTTAAAGGCAAATTAAAATGATTTTCCTGATGTGAAGTTCCAAGGTAAATAGGAAGAACTAATTTCTTTAAAATCCGTAATTCCTCTTTTAAGATAATAAAATCAAAGTAATAACAGTTTTTAAAATATTAGAAGGAATTAAGATGAAATTAATAAATTTAATGGGTACAGTAGCTCTTTTCATTATGAGCAGATGTATTTATTAGTTTATATTTTTGTCTTGAAGCATTTCCATTTACAAAAGCAGTCAAGGCTCAAAGAAAGTGAGACTCCAACACTTTTTCACTCCGGAGAAATCTACAGTCATGAGCTTAGCCTGTACATCTCAGAATCTGTATGCGGGCCTCGTGAATGGGGCTGTGGCCATCTACACAAAAGCAGAAGGTAATTAATTAGTGTTATGTTGGAGCTTTGACATATCAGATTTTATGATTACTGTTTCTCTGTTGGATTTTACTCTCTAAAATGCTTCATATACCTAGCGTCATGTCCCCTCTAGCCTTAGCACCTAACTTTCTCATTCTCAAAAAGATGACGTGAAAATCAGATGCTATCTACTGAACATGTAATGAAGTCGTTTTCAAAAGTCAAACTCCTGGCTGACTCCTTACCATATCCCAGAGGATGATGGTTTGAATGCACATCTTCTCCTTAAGTCTGCTGTCCTCATACTCTTCCTGCTGTTCCTCAATTCCAGTAAGCTTCGCTCCTCTTCTGATGGAGAAGGTTGCAGCCTTCCCTTGTAGACTCCTTCATACACCCCTCTGTTTACCTCAGTGTATTATTGCTTTTACCAGTCTTCACCAGCCCACGAAAAATTCTCTTCTCTTTACCAGAGAAAGCTGCCTACCTACCCTGAAATTATCGCTTCTTACCTCAGACGCCCTGCTGCCGCAGTCACTCCCTCTTCTCTGCCTTCTGTTCCTCCATCCCTTTTTGCTGCATGTTTCACTAAACATTCTAACGGGCTCCAGTGATAGAAAGGAGTCCTGGCGGCGCAGCGGTTATATGCTCAACTGGTAACCGAATGGTTGACAGTTCAAAGCCACCGGCCATTCCATGGGAGAAAGATGTGACAGTCTGCTTCTGTTAAGAGTCCCAACCCAACCCATTGCTGTCGATTCCAACTCATGGCAACCCCACAGGACAGAGCAGAACTGCCCCATAGGGTTTCCAAGGCTGCAAATCTTTACAGAAGCAGACTGCCACATCTTTCTCCCACACAGCAGCTGGTAGGTTCAAACCACTGACCTTCTGGTTAGCAGCCGAGCACTTAACCACTGCACCACCAGGGCTCCTTCCGTAAAGATTACAGCCTTGGAAACCCGACGGGGCAGTTCTACTCTGTCCTGTGGGATCACTATGAATAGGAATTGACCTCAACGGCAATGGGTTTCTAGTAGAGAACCTAGCTCTGATCTACAGCTTTCTGTAGGCAAGTTGACTTAAGTTCTTCTTATGAACCAAGAGCAGTTCTGTGGAACGTCTGTATTTTATCCGCTTTAATCCTCACGGCAGCCCTCTGAAGCAGAGCTGCCCAAGCGTCGTTCTTCATTTTCCACTCGAGCTTCTAGAACATGTATGTTAACTTGTGGTAGCTCTGCCTCTTTTATGAGCACCTCTTTTCCATGTTTTACTGTGGCAGTTGATGGCGGCTGTTGTTTCTGAGTGATCTCCTTCTTGCTTAGCCTGATGTGAGGCAGGTCTGATTTCCTGGGTTCCTCTCTCTCTCGGTGGTTAAATGTGGCAGGGTCAGGACTCCAACCTGGATCCTGAGCCTTCCTTTCTAGCTGCCTTTCTCACTAAATGACTTCATCCAGCCTCGGGTCTTAAACACTGTGACTCCCAAATTTATGTATCTCCCTGCGACCTCTCCCTTAAACTCCAAACCCATATGCCCAACCTGCTTTTTGCCTTCTCCACATAGACATCTCAATGCTAACATTTCCAAAATAGAATATATAGGATTTTTTTTTTTTTTTTTCTGTACTGAATGCCTTTCTTCACTTCGTCGTCCCCCAACTCAGTAAACGATACCATCATGCAACTCATGATTCTTGGTTCCTGTCTCTATTTTCCCCTCTTCCTCCTACCGCATGCTACATACCAGCACATTCTTGTCCACTCCTCCCAAATATGCTCCAGATCATCCCCCCACCTCCATTGTTAGCACCTGGTCCAAACTGCCCTCACTGTCTGCCTGGATTACTGCCATAGCCTCCAAATTTCCTTCTTTCTCTCCTACCAATTCAGCCTCAGGATATTTGCTAGTGAGCTTTTTAAACTGTAAATAAGGTCAACGAAGTCATCCCCCCTCCTTTGTTTAAAATTGTCCAATGAGTTCCCAGTGTACTTAGAATAATATCCCAGTTCTTGTCCCTGGCCTCCAGGCATTATGTGTTATACCCCCACCTCCCAGCCGACTTGCTCCGGGCACACGGACTTCCTTCTGTTGTTGAAACACACCAGGTTCATTCCCACCTCATCAATTTGCACTAGTTGTTCCCTTTGCCTGAAATGTTGTTTTGCCCTTCATCTTTGACCTTAAACACCACCTCCTCAGAGAGGCATTCTCTGACCTACTCTACCCCACCTCCACACAGAAAAATCAGAGGTAGCCTCTCTTCTGTTTTATTTTCAACATGACACCTGTGGACTTGTTTATTGCCTGTCAGCCTTCGCCGGTATGTGAACTTCCTGACATGAGGGACTTTGTCTTACTTCTCGTTCCATCTCCATGATCAGAAATGTGCCTGGCATATAGTGAGCGCTCAGCAAATGATCGTGTAATGAGTACTTGAGTAACGTTCCCTGTCTCACTCCTCAGCCGTCTTGATCCTCTGGCCCAGCTGACCCAGTTGATTCCCAGCATTTCCTGTTTTGGTGACACTTCTCTTGCGTTTTCTGTTTTGACTTCTCTGACCATTTCTTCTGTTTCCTTGCTGGCCCCTGTTTTTCTTTTGGCATTCTGTGTAGGCTTCATTCTCTTTATTTAACTTCGTGATTTAAGTTCTCTGTGGATGATTTTTATATATCTTCAGTGCTGACCCCCTATATTCTAGTCCCGTATTTCCATTTACCTATTTTAATAATCTCTGCCAACATCACAATCCATCTTTTCTCCCCCATTCTCTGTTTATATGTACATCCAAAATGCATCTTACGTGGCAGAAACATTCACGCTCCTCACAGTTCTCCATTCTAGTCAATCCCCATATATATACTCTATCACCAGAGTACTATTTCTCTCTAAACTTTTTGGAATATCTTAAATAATCATTTCCCCTGGTCCAAGTTCCTATTAATTCATGGCTGGAGAATTTCAGGTTGGTTTTCTTGTGTTTTAGTTAGGTATTATTTGGTTACCCAGGGAGGAAAAAAAATCACATTTCAAGCTTTTTAAGTAAAATTGCATGTTTACCCAAAGAATAACACACGTGGAAGTCAAAGACTGAGGTTACTACCAGATGCCCCATGAGGAGCGAGGGCTCCTCTGCGTTCTCCAGGACTGAGTGGTCTCAGCTTGGGTCGGCTTCATTCATCGCACTTGGTCTGCAGTTGGGCCTTCTTTCTGATTCTCTGTGCACGTGATGGAGGATGACCTCCTGGATTCAGGGCCTGGTTTTAGTTACAATCTGAGACAGACTCTGATTGGCCAAACGTGAATTAGGTGACCCTGGGCTAATGGACTATGGCCACGAATGTGAGAGTCATACCTCTCAGATCATTGACAATTAACAAGTAAACTGGCCATAAAAATACTGTTTTATGGATGCCAAGATGAGGGGAACTAAGAGTGTTAAGAAGTCATTTGGAAGGACACCTATTATGGACTTGGGGTCTAAAGGTTTTCTGAAGGATGAGTGTTGGCTAACTAGAAGAACTTGGTAGATGAGAGTTCTGGACAGTGTGTGTGGAAGTCTTGAGGCAGGAGCAATCACGTGGGTTCCCAGGAAGCAAGAGGCATGCAATCTGACAGTCTAGCCTGCTGGAGCTAAGCACCAAGTGTTGATGGTGGTGTTTATCTTGAAGGCAGTGGAGAGCCACTGATGGGTGGAACACAGTGGGACAGAGTGTGCAGCGAAGAATGATTTCTCTGGTGGAAAAATGCATTGTGTGTCTATCGTGCTGGATTTAATTTATATTTATAATTAAATACAAATTTGTCTAAATTTATATGAATATTTATAATTGAAATTGTTCCGCAGTTTTCCTTTTTCTGCTACCTTTGTTGGGGTTTAGTATCACAGTTTTGCAAGCTTAAGTTGTGTTTTCTGGTGCTGTGGTAAAGATAAATTTCACGGCAATTATTATTAGGCTGAAATGACCGTAATTCCAGTCTGGTCTAGCAAAGTTTCTAAAGTTGGCTTTGGATATTTATGTCCGTTTCATTAAGTGCTGTAAATTTATTTGAGTTTTTTTTTTCAGTCTTCTTGATGCAGTTTTCCTAATCTAGATCAATATTATTCTTACCATTGAAGTTTCCAATGTTATTTCATTAGGATATACTTCCTCTTTAAAAAGAAATCTCTTCCATATGTACAGTTAGAATCATTTATATCTTCTTGTCTTTTCAGTGTTTTTCCCCCCCTTTTTTGGAGCCCTGGTGGTGCAGTGGTTAAGAGTTCTGGCTGTTAACCAAAAACGTCAGCAGTTCAAATCCACCATCTGCTCCTTGGAAACCCTATGGGGGCAGTTCTGCTCTGTCCTATAGGGTCACTATGAGTCAGAATCAACTTGACAGCAGCAAGTTTGGTTTTTTGTTTTTTCCCTCATTTTATCTTTGACTAAGCTTCTTAGACGAACGTGTATTTGTAGGGATTCTCACATAATCTTGAATTTTTTTCTGTTGCATTTTTATTACATTTCTGCTTTTATATTTATAATACCTGTCCTTTCTTTGAGTTTATAATGTGATTATCTTTTGAACATCCTGCTTGACTTCGTAGCTTACTTTATTCCTTTTATATTAATTCAGTAGTCAATCAATTTAAGGTGATAAGTCATCATCCCTGCCAGCTTTGTTGTATCCTGTAAGCTGTGCTATGTAGTTTGCATTTTAATACATTTTTGTAGTCTGTAATTGTGGTTTTAATTTCTAAGAGATGTTGGTGAATGTGTTTTTAAATTTCTTCCTAGCCAGGCTTCTGCGGTCAGGCAAGTCTTGTAAAACAGTGAAATTTGTCGTTGGTGGTGGAAGGACTTGGCCAGCCAGAACCCGCAGGCGTTCTGAAGAGAGAAGCTGCTTCTCAGCCCCGCTCGATGGTGCCAAGTCTTTGACTCTTTTAAGGGAAGAAGGAAATTGGGAATTCTGTAGAAAATATATAGATTTTTAAATGTTGTTTCAAAGTTTTATTAGCTTGTGCAATCCAAACCAAGTACGATAGGGGCTGGATCTGGCAGCCTGTTTGGGCACTCTGGCCTGGAGTGAAATTATCCTGAGAAAGGCAGGCTGTTGGCTCCCATTCACAGCAATGTCTTAAGGTCTGACGTTGTGCTCTTTGACCCTTCTTAGAGGATTTTGAGATGAGTGCGCGTGTACACTGTGTCTGTACAAAGAACAGCGCAGGTCCTCAGAAAGCAAAGGCCAGTTGTTAGGAGTTAATCCTTAACCAGCATAAAATGTCTGCAGTGGGTTAGCCCATTTTTTATCTTGAGTTCTTGCTTCAAAGGAATATGCAGTCTCAGTGTGACAGTGCTGATCAGTGATAAGACAGCAGTCTGAGGATACTCAGACTGAAGGAAGTAGATAGCGTTTTGAACTAGGATTCAGAAAACCTGGATTGTCATACCATGCCATGCACTTACAAACATTGTGAATTTTGGAGAAAATAATATTTCCACTCTGAATCTCTATATTCCCATCATAAAATGGAGATTATAATGCTTCAGAGGGTTGTTGTGAGTACCAAATGAGATGGTGCGTGTGTGTGTGTGTGTGTGTGTGTGAACTCTGTGTGTGAACTGTGAATGTGTGTGTGTGTGTGAACTGTTGATGATGCACAGGTTCCAGTGAAGATATTATAAATGGCAGGCAGGTCTGTGTCCTTTGGGGCTAATAATTGTCCTACATTGTTCTTTAGCCTAATTGCAGCATAAAAAACATCCCCATTAAAGTTGAATTATAACTTAAAAGTATGCCACAAAGTTCAAAACTTGCATAGTTGCCTTTTAATACACCTCACCTTAAAACAGTTATTCATAACTAGGTCTTGTATTAAAAGATTTAGTGCTCTAAATACAGAAGAGGTAAGAAGGGAATCTAGACCTTGCTCTTTGCCTTGAGCAAAGCATTTTTACTTGATTAGGAAGTTCAAGGTGTTGGTGGGTTAATAATTGTTATATTTTTAAGCATCATGGCCTAATTGATGTTTAGTTTGAAAACCAAAGAATTTGTTTTAATTATACATAGGATAATTGTATCAATTATTTACTTTTAAAATTTGTGTTAAATCGACTTTAAATCATTTTTAATTGAAATCCAAGCCATTGACTTATACTTTATATGAAGCCTGATAAACTTCATCACTAGCTCTTTGAAAATGTTTTCAAACCAAAATATTTTATCACTTCCTGTGTGCTGCAGGAGGAGTCGCTGGCTGGTGCAAATGTGCTCGACTACTAGCCAAAAGGTTGACGGTTTGAGCCCACCTAGAGGTGTCTTGGAAGACAGGCTTGGTGATCTGCTTCCGAAAGGTCACAGCCTTGAAAACACAGCAGTTCTGTTCTGCACACACAGGGTCAACCATGAGGCAGAATCGACTCAACAGCGACTAGCAACAACAGCATGGTCAGGAGAGAGAGCAAATTTATCAAAAGAGAGAAATTCCTTTTACCTTGATTGTGATTTTATATATATATACACACACACACACACATATTCAGTGAAGATACAGTGTCTTCTTGTGATGTAGTACATAAACCAAACCCACTGCCGTCGAGTTGATTCTGACTCATAGTGATCCTATAGGACAAGGTAGAACTGCCCCATGGGGTTTCCGAGACTGTACATCTTTATGGAAGCAGACTGCCGCATCTTTCTCCCTTGGAGTGGCTGGTGGGTTCAAACCACTGACCTTTCAGTTAGCATTTGGGCGCTTTAACCACTGTGCCACCAGGGCTTCTTGATGTAGTACATATCAAGGGATATTTTAAAATAAAAGTATGTCATGGGAAAATTTAAACATTTGCCCAATTATTTTGGATCCCATTTTTTATAATGATGACTGAATCATATTATGTATTATTATTGCAAATAATAGTATTTACTGAATACCTGTGTGCTAGGTACCTTGCTGAGCTTTTACATGCATTGTCTCATTTATAATTCTCACAATAACCTTTGAGGCTGGTGGTAGTATAATTCCCATTTTTATCCCCAGAAGGAAACTGAAGCTTATGGAGAATAAGTAATTTGCCCAGGACACATATTAAGTGATTGAACTGGAATCAAACCCAATACCTACTGACTGCAGTTGCTCTGTGCTTGATCACTATATTAATTTGCCTTATTGAAATGCTGTTAATTCTCAGAACCCTAGACACACCCATAATAAAGCATAAATATCAAAATTGTAGGTGATCTGTTGATTAACTGTTATTTAATGTGATCTGTGGTCCTGTGCCTTTGTTCCTGATTAGCATATATAATTGAATTTGAATGTAATTAAAAGAAATATTTCCTTTTAAGATGGATCCTGGAATTCTGAGCCTCAAAAAGTGATAAAATTAGGCGTCCTACCAGTTAGAAGTCTACTGCTGATGGAAGATACATTATGGGCTGCTTCTGGAGGCCAAGTTTTTATAATCAGCATTGAGACTCGTTCTATAGAGGTAAGTTATTTTAAGTGACAACACAGTATGGAAAAGATGCCTTTCAGAAATATCCTGAATTAATTTACAATGCTGGAATTCAGAGAAAGACTCTGGTGCCTACAGAACACTGGGGGCCTCCTGCTCGTAACCATGTGCCAAAAGAAAATTGCTTCTAAAATTTGTTTAGAAGGAAAGATTAACTAGAACATTCAAGCAACCATTTTCTAACCATTTGTCCAGGGGAATTATTGTTTATTGTTTAACTGCTAACAGAAACCTATTACTTTAAAAAATATATTCATACATACATGTAGGTAGATGTATCTATAGGCATATGTACATACAGGTATGTGTATGCAGGCATGTATATTCATATATATGAAATAAACCACATAGGGGACATAGTTATGGATACTTCTTAAACATAACCAAACACCTTGCAAGATTGGTTTCCTGGGTTTGACGTCTTAGGACCATAGTCTCATGGGACAACTCAGCTAATTGGCATAATGTAATAGATAAAGTGTATGTTCTACATTCCAATGTGGTGAGTAGTGTCTGGGGTCTTAAAAGCTTTTGTGCAGCCATCTCGGATACAACTATTAGTCTATACTCATCTGGAACAAAAGATAAAGAAGGAAACAAAAGACTCAGAGAAGAAAGTAGTCTACAGGACTAATAGTCTACACGAACCACATCCTCATCTACTCTGAGACCAAAAGAACTAGATGGTGCCCAGCTACCACGACCGACCATTCTGATCAGGGCCACGGTAGATGAATCCTGACAGAAAGGGAGAAAAATGTGGAACAGAACTCAAATTCTTAAAAAATCCAGACTTACCAGACCCATTGAGATTAGAGGACTCCCTGAGAATATTGCCCTGAGATACTCTTTAAACCTTAAACAGAACTATCTCTCGAGGTCAATTTTAAGCTAAATAACAGATGGGCTCATAAAATAAAGAATAGCACCAGTGAGTAATGCACTCCTTTAAAAAATCATCTATATGAGACCAAATGCTAAAAAATTGCTCTAAAGCAAAGATGAGAAGGTAAGGGGGCAGGGAAACTAGAGTACTGGAAATGGTACAACTAGAATGGAATGAGAATGATGACACATTGAGAAAAATGTAACCAATATCACTGAATAATTTGTGTAGGAATTGTTAAATGGAAACCTAATTTACCAAGTAAACTTCCACCTTAAACACAATAAATGTTATTAAATATATATATATGTATATATATATAAACACACACCCACTCCTCACTTATTAACATGGTTATGGTCCAAAGACCAGGTCATTATGTGAAAATCAGTGTTATGCAAAAATGGAGGATAACCACATCACATGACAAAATGGAAGATGACTACGTGATTACATAACTGCCAAATCACATCATTACATAACTGCCAAATTAAATCATTGCACACCTGCCAAATTACATCATTACTTAACTCCAAATCATATTGTTACGTAACTGCCAGATTACATCATTACATAACTCCAAACCACATCATTACATAACTGCCAAATTACATCATTACATAACTGCCAAATTAAATCATTGCACACCTGCCAAATTACATCATTACATAACTGCCAAATTACATCATTACATAACTGCCAAACAAATGAGAATCATGGCCCAGCAAGCGGACACATAACCGTAACCATCACAGCCAGCGTTACTCTTGCCTCACACCTCAGCATTTGTAACTGCCACACGTATGTCATTAATGTGCAGAATGGTCAGATAGTAGATTTTTTACTATTGTCATAAATGCAAAATGTCAGATGAGATAGTTGATAAGTGAGGAGTAGGTGTGTATATATTAAGAAGCAACCAAAATATTCTTCCATTGATGAATAAACAAACATACTTGGGTGCGTCCATACAGTGGAATATTATTCAGTGATAAAAAGAAATAAGCTCTCCAACGGTGGAAAGACATGGAGGAGTCTTAAATGCATGTTGCTAAGTCAAAGAAGCCAGTCTGAAAAGGCTTCCTGCTGTGTGATCCCAGCTATATGTCACTCCGGAAAAGGCAAAGCTATAGCGGCAGTCAAAAGATCTGTGGTCGCCAGGGTTGGAGGTGAGGAGGGGTGAGTAGGTAGAGCGCAGGATAGTTTTAGGGCAGTGAAACTATTCTGTGTGATTTTGTAAGGGTGGATAAATAATATTCTGCATTTGTCAATTCACCAAACTGTACAACAGAGAGAGTGAACCCTGATACATACTATGAGTTGAATGATGTATCAGAAATATATATTTGGTATGAATGTAATAGAGTCCTGAAGTACATATGGAAAATTAGCATTTGATCAAAGTGGCACTTCAGATCAGTGGGATACATGGATTATTCAGCACGTGATAATGAGACAACTGGCTAGCCATTTGGAAAAAATAAAGTTAGATCTCAGCCCCCAGCTCCTTACCATTCTAAACATTCCATTTGGATCAAAATTCTAACATGAAAATGAAACCATGAATTTATAAAACTTAAAAAAAAAAATGGTAGAATGTTTTTATTACTTTGCAGTTGGAAAAACCTTTTCCAAGCATGGCACAAACCTAAACGTTGCCATAATAGAGAAAGAAAAAGATACATTTGGTAAAGTTCCGTAACTTTTTTCCACTCTAACGTATGTGTGTGTGCATATATATATACACACATATATATATATATCGTGTCCAAAATTTTTATAAATAACAAATTGGGAAAATGTTTGCTGTCTATATAAACAATAATTAATTTTCTTAATATACAAAGAATTCTTACTAAACTTTAAGAAGCTGACAAGCTGACAACCAACCTAAAAGAGAATGTTAACAGGACGTGAAAAGGCAGCTTACCAAAAAAAAAAACAAATACAAATAATCACATCTACACACAGGCACACACACTACACATAGACACACACGTATACACATTAGCCCCATTAATAACTAAAAATTGTGAGTTAAAAAAAGATACCATTTTTCAGATCCCATAAACCCGTTGCCATCGCGTCGATTCCAACTGATAGCAACCTACAGGACAGGGTAGTACTGCCCCATGGGGTTGTCAAGGAGCAGCTGGTGGATTTGAACTGCTGACCTTTCGGTTAGCAGCCGAGCTCCTAACCAGTACACCACCAGAGCTCCTTTTTGTGATCAGCAAAGGTTGAAAGTTGAAAGCTGCCCGTGTTGGTGAGGGTGAGGACGCACAAGCTGTCTAATACCCTGCTGGTGGACGCGTGCATTAGTGCGACAGCTTTGGAAGACGATCGCGTATTAACCTGTCAGCGTTCAGAGCGCATCACCTTGCCCTAGAAATTCCACTGCTAGAAGTTTACAGATAAACTTGCATGAACATTTGTAAGGATTTTCATTGCAACATTGTCATCACAAGTAATTTGAAATATTTCAAATGAACATTGAAGGGGGGTCTGGTTAAACAACAGGATACTTGCAATCACAAAAGAGAATGCATGTCGGTAATGATCTGGAGGTATTTTATAAAGTGGAGAAAGGCGAGTTGCAGAATGTTCTGTTAGTGTTATGGAGGTGGATACGCACGCACAGAGGGACAAATACAGCTCGTAAGAAACACTGTGTTGGCTGGTAGTGGTAGTGGGGGGTGAGTGCGTGCACATGTGTATACTTGCAATTGTATAGCAATTTCTGGAAACTTATACAGAAACCTGTCACGTCTAAGTAGAGGAGTAGAAATGGGAGAGAAAACGATGAATTTTGCTTTATATTATACCTTTTGAATTTTTTAGCCATGTGTATATATTACTTTATTAGAAAAAATTACGCATACTCAATTTTCCCGTCTGTTCCTTACCATCTCTACCTAAGTCAACTCCGATAGCGTAGATATTTCTTTCAGCCAGTGATAAATGAGTCACCTCACAAATAATAACTCTTTTGACCCTCTCACAAAAGTAATGGAAGAAGGAATCGTATTCAGTTAGAATGCGGGATACAGTTTCATCTCTGAGGGCTCTGAGGACATGTCTAAATTGTTGTTCTAAATCTCCGCAAATTCGGTAATAAGCTTTAGTAATTATGGACTTCTAAAAATATTTGTGTAGACTGTTCTTAGAAGGCGTTTATCAATTCACTCCAAAAACCTACTGTCGTTGAGTTGATTCCAACCCATAGCGACCCTACAGGGCAGGGTAGAACTGCCCCCATAGGGTTTCCGAGGCTGTAATCTTCACAGAAGCTGATTGCCACATCTTTCTCCCACGGAGAAAGCAGCTGGTGAATTCGAACCTCCGACCTTTTGTTTAGCAGCGAAAGCTTTAACCACTGACTACATCAGTTCACTAGGGACTGTGAAGTATTTTGCTGGTTTTTTATGAGACGCACTTTGAGACATTTACAAAACCGATTTGAAGACATATTTTGGTGGCATGTTTTGCAATCTCAGAAGCTGGAATTTAGGCGTCAGATTAAGACACAGCTACTTTAAACTGAACAGCTTGGATAGACAAGGGTCAGGGTCACGGTGAATTCATCCAAACGTAGATGGATGTAAGCTTAGACTAGGGAAGAAGTCCGAGGGTATCAGGACACCTCAAGAGAGTAAGTTCTTGTTAAGGATCACCAGGTCACACACGTGTGGGAAAAGTTGCAAATAGAGCTAGGTCTCTGGACTGGGAAGTCTCAGGCGTTTCTGCTGCACAACAAATAGTTTTTCCCTTTCTTGTTTGTTTTAATAGTGTCTCCAGCCTCCGCAGTGAGGAGCCTGCCCCCTAAAGACAGTGACAGAAAGCAGTCTACTGGACAGTTCACAATAAGAGAGGGGGAGAAAAATGTCATTTTCAAAAATACAGAGTGCAAGATATGAGTATTTTAAGTTATTTTTGCACAATATTTTTATAGTAACGTTTTGTTTCTACTTCTATCTATCTGATACTTACTGTTTCCTGTACCCTGTGTTGGAGCCCTGGTGGCGCAGTGGTTAAGAGCTCAGCCGCTAACCAAAAGGTCGGCAGTTCAAATCCACCAGCCGCTCCT